TTTAGCATATATTGCGGATTCAAAACTAAACAGTGGACGACATGGGCTAAGGACAGAGCATTAAACTGCTAACCTGATAGGTGTCTGAAAAGATGATGAAGAAGGCTAATATTGACAAATTTCTGAGAGCATTGACAACTGTTTACAAAATGGAGCAAATACAGGGCTTCACAGACCAAACGGCATTTCTCTTGCTCTATTCTGTAAGCAATCAATCAATCAATCAGTCAATCAATCAATCATCACTTAACCCTTATTGTGACCGTTGGGGCGACACATTTGATTTTATATAACTTTCTGTTCTGTTATATGCTGCTCTGAGTATTTTGCCAAAGGGCAGTTAAATCATCGATGTCGTCCCCCCCCCCCCATCTAGAGACAACTTTGCCTTCCCGTTATTCTCGCTCTTGGCATAGAGCCCTTCATTTAATGTTTTGATAAGGCCGGTAGTTCATATGCCATGCCCATACTGTTATAACTGTGATTAGTATAGGATAGAGAATTGGGATAAAATATCGTTAAATATCGTTACCAAAATACAATAATTCACTGCAGTCTTCAGCTTCATCACTTTATGGTGACTTCATAAAACATACCGTCTCTATTTTCATGTTCAGTAGATTCTGCAATAGCTTTATATAAACGATGTGTCCATTGCATGCTTTAACATAATTCGCTATTGATAAGTATTTCATATTTTATTTCATATTCTTCTATTTTCAACCATACTTTAAGCGACTTAGATTGGTCCTGATTTCAAACGCCAATCACATCACAGTAATAAAATCGAACGCTTCTAAACCATCGAACCACCCATTATTTAGCTGCGGGATAGCGAACTCCTAGCACGTTCGCACGAACTTGTGTTAGCCGAGTCGTGCGGAGTTGAATACAAACGTTTTTTTTTTAAATCGCTTAATTGCACAACAAACAACCGAGTATTTTTGTTAGGGTAGGTGTGTGTGGGGGGGGGGGGACAGCGACAGTCTTTGTGTTTGTTTATATTACACTTATTTTCTTCTCTTATGATAAGAACTCTCTGATAGATGTAACTTTGTGTCCCATCTCATACTACACTTATTCCCGGAATATGCTACGTATATGGTTGGCATGGTTGCTAAAACAAAAGAATCCGAGTTCATTTCCTCAGGTAGATAAGGCTCGATAAAAGTTTAAAATCAAACAACTTCTTGATTATAGTTTGTTCTTGGTTGGACAAAAGATATAGAAGCTAATCCATAAAGAAAAGCAAGCTGGAATCTGTGAGACTGTAACAAATCTAGGAGAGACAACTCCGATATCAAACAGTAGTGAAGCCCCTTAAGGAATAGAATTACCAACTCCAGTTTCGTTTTCGGTATCTTCTGCAACACAGGTGGTTCCAGGCAGTACAGGTAACGTCCTATCCCTTGGGTTCACCAGCTTTCTTCTGACTGCCAGACTTTGTGAGATGATTTCCAATGCCCTATCTAGCAATTGTCTGTTAGACTATGGAGCCATATTATGAACTCGAACGCTTCATAACCAATCGTTAGTTTTTAGATACTGCTATTACTATTATCTATAATAAATAATTTATCACGAAACTGCACTGACAACAATACCTATACATTCAAGACACCAGTGTTGAATCTCCTAATACTTCTATTCTTAGTACATGAATGATCAAACTCAGTTTTATTGAGTACCCATCATCAAACTGAGGATATACATAATTATGTATTTTCATGAGTCACAAAAGTCTTGCTATTAGTAAATTAGACAGACTTAATGTTTTAGAGTTGTCCATCGTCGACCCGCCATTGATTGGAGAATGTTAAATATGCTTTTTGTCGCATTTTACTTGATAAACAACTTCAAAGCATCGATATTAAATTAGATTTCAATTTATTTTATCTTTCGCCAACTCAGCTTATATGGAGACCCATCATTGATTGGACAAAAAAAGAATTTACTTTTATTTTTTGCTCACAACTACCCCGAATTGGTAGTAAATAGAGTTGTCTATCGACCACTCAGCTTAACCTGATACCCGTCATTGATTGGGAATATCAAATATGCTTTTTGTTGCATTTTTCTTGATAAACAACTACACAGAATTTCTAGCAAAATAGATTTCACTTTTCGTCTATCGTCAACTCAGCTTTAACTGAGACCCGTCATTGATTGGAAAAAATAAATAATTTTCTTTTCTATTTTTCTGAACTCACACCCAACCCGAGTCGGTAGTAAATTAACCGGACCCAACTTTACTGTATTTATTGACCTCAGTTACGTAATCAACACACCAATCGTTCAATCGTTTGGCAGTTAAATTTACATTAACCGTTGACCGTTTAATGAATACCCACCGCACATTGGCCCTAATATCAAAAGAGCTCACCATGGCAACGCGTAAACAAAAGGACTGTTTTGTTTCATTACTTAGACCCAACCTTCCTGTTCTGATTACGAATGCGCTCCCCTAACAAAAGGCGCGGGAAGCTATTCGTAAACAATGGAACGAACTTATATATTGTATAAAGCCTGTAGTTTTGACACTAGACATTCTATTATTTTCTTGCCTATTTCTTTTGTATAACTTTAAAAAAAGCATTCAGTTCGTCATTTTGATAGCTTCAATTAAGTTTGATGTGGTATAGAAAAAAAACGTACAGGTTTTTTTTTTAAAATTACGTACAAATCAGGTTATTGTACGTCTAGGCAATGAGCCAATACCCCTGTCGCCCCAGTCACGCATGACTGAACGCGAATACTCTTTAAACAAAGCTGCCCGTGCCGTCGATTGTTCTGTACATGGCATCGACCACGCCCCCTTCTTCTGAAAACCACCCCGACCCCTGCACCATTTCCCCTCATCCCTCCCCTGATTATTGACTGACGTCATTTGTGAACGTCATTGAATTAGAAGGTGAACATTGAGGCTTTTTGTTTCTTGTTGTGAACTGGTTTAGACCGATCAAATGTAAAAAAAAAAAGGTTGTTTAATTGATTTCTGAAAATTTTCACTTCGATTTTTGTTAAGGACGGGTTTTATTTTTGTTGTGAAGTTTTATTGACGGGCTGTGTACAATTGATCACTTGGTGTGTACATACAGGCGAAGGCACTACCAACAAATGTTTGTGTAGCCTAGGGCTAACGATAGATTTTCTATCCTTCCAGTGTGCGTATTTATAATTATTGATTTGAATATTCTTACTGCAATATCCTGTACTGACTTGGTGCTCAAATATTCTGCTGCTACATTTTCCCCTTTTTATTTTGATTTACAGTTACTTCGACTTTTCATCATCTACTTCCAATTTGTTTTTGATCATTGTTTCTTCCAGACTTTTTTTATCCAGGGGGCACTTGATATTTTCGGGGGGGGGGGGGGGGGGGGGGGAGGCGGTCTACATTTTCCCGGAGGGGAGGGGGGGGGAGCACTTGATATTTTCGGGGGGGGGGGGGGCGGTCTACATTTTCCCGGAGGGTAGGGCGCGGACACTAGTAAATGTATATGTTTACTATACAATTCCATCTTGTTCGGTGGGAAAAGGGGGGCGGTAGATGCCTGGAAGAAACTCTGTTTTTCATTGCAATGCTATATTTCCTCAACACAATTAGGTGTTACTTGTTAACATGTTAAGTACTTTATGATCTGTTGATTCTGATTTACAGCATCCATGAAACAACTACAAGGCAGCGGTTGTTTAATTGTTGGTGTTTTTTTTTCTCCATCTAGCTCATCTGTCCTGGGGGTTCGAACTCGGGGCATTTAGCAACCATGGGCTCTAACGTCCCGACCACACCGACCCTTTATCACCTTCAGATTGCTACTAATATATAAAGACGATACAGTCTTAATTTCAACAAAAAAAAATAATTAATTAATTAACTTAAAAAAACAACAACAATACAACCTGCATAGACATATTTGAAATAGGAAACCAAACACAAATTTTCTTTAGCTATAATAGTAAAAAAAAAAACCTACTTCATCTACTTCATGTGTTTTGGGCACGAACGGGAAAATTTGTTGATTATTGTTTGCAAAAAAAACCTACATATTATATGCAGTAGTTAAAAAACGATCTTTAAAGTAATCTTTAAAATATATTCATAAGATACACATTAAAACAAGGACAAGAGTTGTTAAAGCTAATTTATTATGTAAATAATTCACATAACAAAACACAAAAGCCTTTAGTGTATTATGTAAATTATAACAAGACTTTTAAATGATCCAACAAGTACCCGATAAAAATAAATAAATCGGCCAACAAATCGGCCAACAGCATAAAATGTATATAGCCGTAATGCCAAGTATAGTATAAACAAAAATGTATATGTCATATCACCTTAATCTTTGTTCTGTTTAGACTAGGATAAAAATTAGAAGAACATTTTGCAATGCATATGGAAAGAAAAAATATTATGTAACAAAAAAAATAAAGTAAATTAATTAAGCTGTGCTCAATGAGCTTAAAATATAGTTAGATAATTTCAAGAAACATACCAAGATGCTTTCAAGCAAATAGAAACATACATAGATGCGTTCAAGCAAATAGAAACATACAAGCATATAAAGATGCGTTCAAGCAAATAGAAACACACATATTTATTCAACAAATAAAAACATACCAAGATGTATTCAACCAAATTAAAACATCACAAAATGTGTTTAAGCAAATTAAAACATACAAAAATACATTAAATAAAATTAAAACATACCTTTTGCGTTCAATCAAATTACATCAGTCTAACATGCGTTCAAGCAAATTAAATTATTCAAAGTTACCTTCAAATAAATCAAATCATACTACGCTTTGTCAAATTAATTAAAACATATTAAGATTAGCTCAAGCACACTTAAACATACCAAGCTACATTCAAAAAATTATAACATACGGTGACGCATTCAATCATGCATTAAATGATTACAAAAAAAAACGATCAGTTGTAAAGAATAATTAACATAATGAGACCTCCAAATTTAACAGTCATACTCAAATCTTAAAAAAAAAATCTTTATAAAGCTTGCCCATGTAATTAGACAAAAGAAAATAATCATAAATGTCAAGACGAACATTTCTTTTATAATCCAACCACAGCCTGTATGCAGTAATTATTACTTCAACCCTTCAGACTTAAAAAAAAACAAACCCTATCGAACCCCGCAGTGTACGCATGTCAAAATGTAATGTACATTCCATTTGTCCCTAGCCTTAGTCTGTCAAGTCGCATTATCTTTTGTCCTGTTCGTCTTGTCGCGCCGGTGGCCGCTCAACCGTAACAAATCTTGTCGTTCCTAAGTGGCCCGTTCAAGTTCAGTGACTTTGCTGCTGTTGCACCCCGTTCCAGTCTGATCCGGTCAACTCAACTGGTCTCTACATTATTTTTCTCCCAGACCTCAAAACGAAATTTGATTCCGGTTTTTTCATCGACTTGTATTGTGTCATCGATTGAAGGGTCTCTGTTAAGATATTGAAAAAAAAAACATTTTTTAAAAAGCTGTTGAATATTTATATTAAGATGATTTATTTATGTCGGTGTCGTGCGAAGGAAAGTGGGTACTGTTTTTGTTCCCGTTGTATATAAATCGGCAACAGCATTTACATGTGTGCGTGTAATGGTATGTGTGAGGAGAGGGGGGGGGGGATGAGGATGGTTATAATCTGGGTTTTTTTAGTCCCGATTGGCATTTGTCACGGGGTTTAGACCAGGTTTTATGTGTATTTCAATGTCCCTGTCCCTGTCAGACAGACAGACAGACAGACAGACAGACAGACAGACAGACAGACAGACAGACAGACAGACAGACAGACAGACAGACAGACAGACAGACAGACAGACAGACAGACAGACAGACAGACAGACAGACAGACAGACAGACAGACAGACAGACAGACAGACAGACAGACAGACAGACAGACAGACAGACAGACAGACAGACAGACAGACAGACAGACAGACAGACAGACAGACAGACAGACAGACAGACAGACAGACAGACAGACAGACAGACAGACAGACAGACAGACAGACAGACAGACAGACAGACAGACAGACAGACAGACAGACAGACAGACAGACAGACAGACAGACAGACAGACAGACAGTCAGACAGTCAGACAGTCAGACAGTCAGACAGTCAGACAATCAGACAGACAGACAGTCAGACAGACAGTCAGACAGTCAGACATTCAGACAGTCCGTCAGTCAGTCCAACCCCATCCATCCATCCATATATGTATATATATATATATATATATATATATATATGTATATATATATATATATATATATATATATATATATATATATATATATATATATATATATATATATATACATATATATATATACATATATATACATATATATATATATATACATATGTATGTGTATATATATATATATATATATATATATATATATATATATATATATATATATATATATATATATATATATATATGTATATATATATATATTAAAAATTTAAATATACTTTGTGTATTTAACGTTTCTCATATGACTTCTCCTCCCCCACTTGTAATATAAAACATTATGTGTGTTACAAATTCAATTCATAATCCCCTCCTAACTCCTATCTTCGATTGTAGGAAAAAAAGTCACAGGAAAAAAAAAACACAGGAAAAAAAACACAGAAAAAAAGTCACAGGAAAAAAAGTCACAGGAAAAAAAGTCACAGGAAAAAAAGTCACAAATATATATTTGCATGATATTTGTTAATACTTTTATGTATTAAATATTTAGAGAGTGCAAATTAACTTAAGATTAATTAAATGTAATGTAATGTGTGTAGGCTGTATACGCATAGGAATTTTTATAATTCATCTAAAAATATTTATTATGAAGTAGGTAGATTGTAATTATTTTAAACTAAGATTAGTAGCATTTAATAAAATGCTCCAAAGTCCACTTTTTTCATCGTGTTTTTTTTTTTAAATACCAACATTAAATTACCGTGAAATGGTAAGGTCATATGACTTGCTGTCCTCAATTCATGGCAACAATAGTTATGTTTAGTTCAACCACCTTTACTGCCCACATTTATCACGCTCATTACATAACAAAACTTAGGATCAAAACAGAAAGCCGACAAGGTTCAAAGGCTGTCATTGACGCATAACGTCAACAACACAAAATATGTTCGGACAATGCCTACTGCGGAGAGGCCGACCAGAGAATAGCCTACGGCAAAATGTGCCTACATTTCTTTTATAATTAACTTCTCAACCGCGTATTTAACTAAATACGTAACAAAAGTTGAGATTGTTGTGTTAATTATCTTAGAGTATTTTTACTTACAATTGTTATAAATCATAATGCTTTTAACGTCTATAAATAATTTATGCTATCAAAAAATACAACCCACAACAATAAACATACAAAATTTTACAATTCTTAACAAATTAATACAAATATTTCTAAACAGATTTTTGTGACTTTTTTTCTGTGACTTTATTTCTGTGACTTTTTTTTCCGATACAATTTTTCCACTGTGACTTTTTTTCTGTGACTTTTTTTCCTAGCAAAAACTGTGACTTTTTTTCTGTGTTTTTTTTTCCTGTGACTTTTTTTCCATTCACCCTATCTTCTACCCCATCCGTAACATATCGTAAGCAAATGGAGTGATGGAGTCTTTTCAAAAGACCCATCCTACGGGTGAGTGCAAAGTACGTAAATGACACAAGGTATAATTTATGCTAGACTTGTGATCTTACCTCCCTACCCTTTCCAGCGATTCTTCTTCTTCTTCTACGTTCTTAATTTTAGTGTTGGAAGGGATTCCCTCCAACACAATTAAGTATACGTGTCAACTGGTTATGCGCCATTGAGGCCATTGACTCCGATTCCAGCCTGCTTTTCTTTTTGGATTTGCTTCCATAGCCTTTGTCCAACCAAGAACAAACTACAAGGCAGCAGTTGTTTGATTTTGGAGTTGTCTCTCCTAGAGGAGTGGCTGTCCCCAGCTATCGAGCCTCATCTGCCCTGGGGGGTTCGAGACTTTTCGATTTAGCAACCATGAGCTTTACCGACTCGACCACGCCGACCCCTCCCGCGATTCAAAAAACAACCTGTTACAATCTTAACCCCTCTTACATCTTGCACCCCCCACCCCCGTCCCGTTCCAAGGAAAACAAATTATTTTCATTAGCTTTGCTTATCCCAGAAAGCTACCCCCCCCCCCCGCACACACATATAAAGAATGTTCGGGACAGTCCTTTAACAGTTTTTAAATTAGTGTCACATAATTAATGAGGAAAGCTATTAAGTAAGCAAACAGCAGTGTATAATTTAGTAAGGTAGCTCAAAACACACTTTTTATCTATTTTTCCTACAGCATTAAGCGCCCCCTATGGACCGAGCCAGGGGCGATCGCCCCACCAACCCTCCCCTAGCTTCGCCTCTGAATAAGTAAATGCAGTGATAGACATCTTTTACAGACGACCCATGCTGCAGCTGAGTTCTGAGTACATACTTGATACAATGTGTAATTTACGTTATCCTCATAATATCCCCCACACCTCACTTGCAATACAAAAATAATCGGAGTTTCATTCTTGACTCCCCTCCTCCATCTCACCCCCACCCCCTTTATCCCCACTCGTCGGAAGCGCAACGTAAGTAAATGCAGTGCTGGACTGCACGTGAGTGCTGAGTACCTACCTGACACGATGACAGAGGTGCTCAAACTTGGGGAAGAACGTGTCCGAGTCAAAATCCTGGAATATTCTGGTGATGATGAAAGTTGTGCATCTCTGGTCTGATACTGCGATCTGTCCAACATAAAGTTCACCAAGGGAGGTAATTAAAAATTAATTTTAATAAGGGAGAAAATTTAGAAAATAAGAGAAAATTGTAATTACCTATACCTATATATATATATATATATATATATATATATATATATATATATATATATATATATATATATATATATATATATATATATATATATTATATATTGAATCCATTAAGTATATTAACAATTGCGACAGGATTAATTAGTAATTAAAGGAGAGCTACCTCATAGTTTAACTGTCCGCCTAAAACGTAGATGGTTTCGATTTCGCCTTTGCATGGTCCTGTCGTTAACATTCGCACGGCTTCGTCAAAGTTGTGGGCCACGCCCCAGCAGTAAGGCGCGTCCTGAGACCTAAAGGGAGATAACATAACAAATATGTATACATCGAATTGATAGTCTACCTTTACTGAATTTCCGGTCTGTCACGGGCAGAAAGGGACGTAACAAAGTTTTAAAATGTGCTGATATTGTTAATAGGATAATTATATTTCTTTAATGGTTAGAAAACGAAAATATTTGTGGTAAATATTTTCATAAATAGATATCTATGGTAAAGTAAAACATGAAGCTCCTCATTAGACCTAGATCTATGGATTAATTGGGCAGATGAAGTAGAGTTCACCCATATAGGTACTATAAATGCTTATATATATATATATATATATATATATATATATATATATATATATATATATATATATATATATATATATATATATATATATATAAATATATATATATATATATAAATATATATATATATATTATATATATATATATATATATATATATATATATATATATATATATATATGTATATATGTATATATGTATATATGTATATATATATATGTATATATATATATATATATATATATATATATATATATATATATATATATATATATATATATATATGTATATATGTATATATGTATATATATATATATATATATATATATATATATATATATATATATATATATATATATATATATATATATATATATATACACATATGTTATTTTGGTGTGCCACATATACGACAGTACAATAATACTATTCTGACTATTCTGTAAAAAATTATTAGTCTATTAATAATCCCTGCTCTATCCTAACACTGAAACTCAGTGCGTCTCACTTTACTACTAGTGCATGAAAGTTAATGGAAACATAATAGAATAAATTAATTCAATATACTACCTATTCCACAAGTTTATTACTCATACATAAAAAATACATTTTCATAATGTGTATTAAGGTTTCCTAGTAGGTAATAATTTTGGTTTCAACCTGGTTTGTTGTAATTAATTCGTGTAGATTATATGCTTTCTGAGGTATTAAGATTTTATATACATGAAATACTACTTACAGAGAATTAGGTTAAAATAAAATCGGATCGGCTATTTTCAAATAACAATGCTATTAAATAATACAGCGGGTTAATCATTATCATACAACATATAGTTATTGCCTCTACCAGTACACTTCCATATCCACCCTCAACCCGCACACCCAGTAAAAAGACTGATATATATATATATGTTACGGTCAAAGCCCGAAGTGCGGCCAAACCCCGGATTGGCCGGCCAATGCGCGGATTGGCCGGCTCTCTTGGCCAAAGCCCGAAGAACTTAGAACTAAGATCGTATTTCGTACATTGGCCGGCCAATGCGCGCACTGGCCGGGACGTACTGGCCAAAGTCCGAAGTACTTAAACTTGACAGCGTATTTTGTACATTGGCCGGCCAATGCGCGCATTGGCCGGGATGTCCTGGCCAATGTTGTATCTAGACTAAGTTGTGATCGCGTTTTAATTATTCTGGGTGCGGTTTCATTGTGAGTAACGTATTGTTTAGCTCTTGTTTGTATAGCATTCTATATGCAAGGCGACATGGATCAAAAGGGCCGTCAGACCAAGAGACAGACATAGCAGATGGCTGTCAAAAGAAAAAAAATGTAAATCCATGTTAGTTTCAATATATGGGCTACAACTGTATGTGACAGCCTCCTCCATGATGACGAGGTGAGACAATCATCAAAGAACAAAAGACAGTCGGCGTCACCGACCACGTGCAACTAGACGGAACGTTCAAAAGACTTTTCCGCGTTCCTAGATGTTCAAAACAAGATGATGACATGGATGCAAACAAATGAATCAGCTCATTGGGCTGAGAGTCTCAAATTCATTCAATTTATGAAAAATCGTTCTTTTCATCAAAGAATCCAACAATCACCATACGAAGCCTTGTTTGGATGCAAAGCAAAAGTGGGACTTAGCACTTCAAATCTACCAACAGAGGCTCTCAATAAAATAGCTTCTGAGGAAGATCTTGAGAACATTGAACAAGAAATTGAGGTTGCCATAAATGCAACTACATCCTCAGCTCACACATCTACTGCCGTGGCGGAACGTCCAGACCAGTTGCGTGACAATAATGTGGCCAACAGATTCTGTATAGTTTGTGAAAAACATTGTAGTGCAGCTCATTCTTGTGGATCATGTGGCAAAGATGTCCATGCTATTTGTGGAGTACCCAATGAAGAAGACGAAGGTTACGGAGGGAACATTACCTGCAGATTGTGTCACAACAAACAAGACGTCATGGAACACAGGTCAGCAGCTCATACTGGCTTGCAAAATCAAGGTGCTAAGATGCTTAAAACATCAAATACAAAATTTAAAGACGGTGAAGTGGGTGACAATGTACGCATCCGTGTTCCAGATGTTGACAGAGGTCGCGGTGATCCCCGAAGCGTGATTGCAGTTGTCATGAGCGTCGAGGGCGGTTTCTACAAATTAGGAACCGAACATGGTGTTCTAAAACAACTGTATGCTAGAAGTGAGTTTTCAATTCTTCACGAAAAACTGCTCTTATTGTCGTCAGTTGGCACTGAGGAAAAATCACTACGAACCATCGCATCTTCATCGCATCTTCACAATCATTGACTGGGGGCCAAGGCTACAATCGCTGCAATTGCACAACCAAGTGTACAACAAATCGCTGCAAGTGTAAAAATAACAAGCTGCTATGTAATTCTAAATGCCATAAAAGTTCAACTTGTTGTAACAAATGATAATATTGATTGATTGAGACTATAGTACAATAAAAAATTTGAATGTTTCTGTCATTTACTTTAATTAATAATCAATAAAGACTTAATTTTATGATCCTACCGGCATAAAAAAAAACAAAATCTGCTCATGATCTTCTAATTAAGACTTTGGCCGGTCCACCATGGCCAGTCCGCGGACTGACCGGGACTGGCCGGCCAAAGGCCGAAATCAAGAGCTATTTCAGACTTTGGCCGGTCCACAATGGCCAGTCTGCGGATTGGCCGGCCAAAGGCCGAAATGAAGCAAAGTTTCGGACTTTGGCCGACCTATGGGAGGCGATATTGGCCAATGCGCGGACTGGCCGGCCAATCCTAGCATTGGCCGACTTCGGGCTTTGACCGTAACATATATATATATATATATACATATATATATATATATATATATATATATATATATATATATATATATATATATATATATATATATATATTTATATATATATATATATATATATTTGATAGTAGCTTCCTGATGAATCTTCGCGTGTTTTCCATCTCTAGACATACACCTCCCCGCTCCCCACCCGAGCCCGACCCCCCAGGCTTACATAGACTTGTTTGGTAAAACTTGAAGCATTTTTGGGTATGTCTTCTTCTCTAGATACACGATTCCATCACCCCCACCCCAACCCGAGCCAGACCCCACAGAAAACAGACTCACATAGACTTGCTAATGACCACTTGACGCACCTTTGGATGTGTTTTCTTCACTAGATACACGATTCCATCACCCCACCCCCGCACCTGATCCCGACCCTCAGAAAACAGACTCACATAGAACATAGATTTGCTAATGACCACTTGACGCACCTTTGGATGTGTTTTCTTCTCTAGATACAAGATTCCATCACACCCACCCACCCCCCACCCAATCCCGACCCATCAGAAAAAACAGACTCACATAGACTTGCTAATGACTACTTGAAGCATCTTTGGATGTGTCTTCTTCTCCAAGCTCAAGGTCTCCCAACCAACTCGACCTGTGATGATGCCGTTCTTTTTCTCTGAAAATATCAACAAAAGCTGTTTTTAGCTATGGTAACGGTTCTAAAAATATCTAGTTAATCAGATAAAATATGAATGTATATTTATAGTGAAGCTTCCTCTTTAGACTTAGTGAGCCACTGGGCAGATAAAATAAGAGTTCATATGTTTCTTCACCTCGGCGTATGAAGGATAATGTGGTCAGCACTATGCCCAGCCGCTTTTAGTTTTCCTAACATGATTTAGGTACCCATTAGAGCTGGGTGGACTCGGCTATGTTCTACGAAATTGAACCCGGGTTTGAACTCGAGATTTTCGGGTTAGCAGTCAAGCGCTATAGGAGGGAGCCTATGACATTGCAAATAAGAAGGAAGTGGCGCTGGGTGGGTCACACACTGTGAAAGGTTCACCCAAATGTGACACGCCAGGCACTTGAGTGGAACCCCAGGGAAAGCGGAAAAGAGGGCGCCCAAAACAGACCTGGAGGCGGAGTCTTCTTGAAGAACTGAAGCCAACAGGGATGTCTTGGGAGGTGACAAAATTAATAGCCGGGGATCGGAAGAAATGGAAGAAAATAGTCGAGGCCCTATGTTCCACAAGGATCAAAGAACCCTAAGTCAAGTAAGTCAAGTCTAGCGCTCTACCACTTGGCCACGGCGTCACATTAGATATACAATAAGCATGTCGCGAATGTAGCGAAACAATAGTAAGTTTGTCCTGAGATAATTGAGACTAATACAACATTAAACCAATACTCTGTAATTATGATAACACTTGTAAATTAAGCACAAAAAAGTTTGGTAATATAGTAACACGTTTCGATTCGGAAAACAAGGGATGCTTTCAGAGACGGAAGAATCGTTTCGGTGCGCTACCCGGGAATTAGATAAAAAGGTCATAAGCTGCCCATGCACCATGATCCACCTTACGACCTTGCAGATGTATCCCAAATGATGGCTAAGTAATGTGCTTAGTGCCAACTCATTTTCAGAAGCTGTAAAAAGTAAACCAGTTGGTAGTCCTCACGTCTAAAAACACGTGCAAGGCAACCGTTTCCGAGTTTTCTGTCTCACATGGGTTGCTCTACCCAGTTCACGTGATTTTCCTGCACGGGGATTCAAACTTAGGACTTTCAGGTTAGCATTCATACTCTCTACCACCCGACCTCACCTATGATAAATGCATAATGTTTTGACTGTGGAGGACATTCCTCAATGCAGTCCCCACCAACATACAACCTATAGTTGTTTATTTTGACTTACTTGGATCTTTCGTAGACTCTATGAGGTTTGTGTAGAACTCGTAATCTGGTCTGTAGAGAGATGAAACACAGTTAAGGCCCAACTGTTCAATTGCAGGTTGTTGTGAACAATACTCTTTCATTCACGATTGTTGGGAACGATACTCTTACATTCACGATATTTGTAAACGATACTCTTACATTAACGATTATTGTGAACGATACTCTTACATTCATGAGTTTTGTAAACGATACTCTTACACCTATAATTGTTGTGAACGATACTTTTCCATTCACGATTGTTGTGAATGATACACTTACATGCACAATTGTTGTGAACAATACTTTTACATTTACGATTATTGTGAACGATATTCTTACATTCTTGATTATTGTGAACGGTAAACTTACATTCATGATTGTTGAGAACGATACTCTTATATTGACAATTAATGTAAACGATATTCTTACATTCACGATTGTTGTGAACGAGAATCCTTAAAATTAACGTAAGTCTAATAAACATTATGATGTTTTTCAACATTTGTTTTGTCAACAATCCAAACAAAAATATATGCTTCGTAACATTTTCTGAATTTCACCCCTCCCACAATAATAGTAACACATATTTTGGAAATTCTTCGTGTCATGCACCAACATGTGAAATCTGTACTAAAAACGGAAAACTTTCGTATGCTTTTCTTTGCAAATGTTAAAAATTTTGGGCAATTCAAACTTCCACTAACTTTTATTTCCCTATTTATAAAAAAAATTCTAAAAGTTAAAAAAAATGTGAAAGTTTTTGTTTTTGATAGACTATCCGACCTCATTCCTACAAACGCGTTGAACCCTTGCCCCCCCCCCTCCCCTCCCCCCTCACACCTTCTTTTACCTACATATCCTGGACAAGACAAAATATAACGCAGTCATCTTGAACGCTTACATTCTTTACGACCATAGCGTCACGCACGCAGAAATAACATCATCTTTAATCCACCGACAAAACAATATTTCTATCCGGGTTTTGCCGAACCCTGCACGAATAATATCTCAAAAACGTGTTAATTAATTAGCGACATGTAATTAAGCACCTATTTTTACCTACTTTAAGAACGGCCACGGCAGACCACCGTCTTTGCCGATTCCCCTATGGCCGTCACAAATAGCGGCGACCGACTTTATATTGAACTCTACCAGCATCTTGACTCAAGGTCTATTAGAGTAGTTCGGACTTCGAGGCTCAAACCTGTGAAAAACAGAAAATAAAGCAGTAGTGCACATACGTGATTATGTAAAGAAGATACATCTAAAACCAATTTATAAAACTTCAAAGATTTCTAATTTAATCTTATTGATCTTTTCATTGGGTCACAAAGGATCAATTTATTTATATATGCCATCAAACTAACTTGTTGATTCTGTTAATCAAACGTATTTTTTAAATCATCGATTACCTTATTGTATGAAAATTAAATCACTTTACTACCTAAATTAGCACGCGTTTTTGTTCCTGTTTTTTTATATTGCACACAGTGTTTCTTTCAGGTTGTCTTGGAGGGGGTGAGGGTGGGGGAGGAATTACCACCTCACTTCGCACGGCTACCCCCCCCCCCCCCCTCGAACGAAATAGAATTTATTTGTGAAATATATACTTTTGTCAGTGTGTGCCCCACACCCCACGTTCTAGATAATAATTTTAACCGCCCCCTCCCCGAAGGAAAGTTCCCGGAGCACCGACCCCCCCCCCCCTCCAGAGAAAAAAGTCTAAAAGATTGTACATTATAATTTATGGAATGTGATAGATCGACTGTATGCAACGATTTTGATATAATACGCCTTTATCAACACTAGCAACAACATAATTTGCCCTGAGCAGAGCAGACTCCCCCAACCCCTCCCCTATCCCGCTATACCTCCCTGATAATACCTCACTAATAATACAACGCATCGCTAAATATAATAAGACAATCCAGCTTATTAGTTTCGTTCATTATTTCTACCTTATGAAGTTGCCTAACGGTGGTAGAGCGCTATACTGCTAAACCTTAAGTCTCGCGTTCGAATCCGGTTTCATGTCATTAGAACTTCCCTGAGTCCACTCAGCTCTGATGGGTACCTAATTCACGTTGGGGGAAGTAAAGCCGACTGGACATAGTGCTGAGCACACTATCCCTTTATTTGCTGAGGTCACTGAAAGAGGTTAACTCTACCTCACTTGCCCCATGGACCGCCAGAGAATGGAATTTTAGTTACTTTACTTAGTTATACTTTTTGAATTTATTAAATCTAACCAATACAGATCAAGTTAAAATACAACGCATCGCTTAAAATAATACTAAATACCACATATTGCTGAAAATTTAACATTATGCCTATTTAGTGTAACATAAGGTGGAAAATCGATTATTTCTACCTTTTGAATTTATTGGCTCTAAACCAATAACGATAAAACTTTAAAAAAAAAAAAATTCCCTGAAATAATGAGATTCAAAATTAAACATAATGATAGCTTACTTAATGAGTTGTAAATACAATACAAGAATGTAGTATGGCAAAATTGTATACTCACTCACAAAAAAACCCCAGCAGAACTGAGTTGCTTAATATTATCTCGCCCAGAGTACAAAACCCACTTTTTATACTAAACAAAATCTTTGGATATTCCCGAAGAATGAGACGTACGTCACCAGTCCAAAGTCACAAGGTAAGTTTAATCCTACACACGTGTCAACCGTCAACACGGAAATCCTAATCTCTGGAGTGGACCCTTCCCGCCACACACGAACAGGTGCACACCGGCTTTCAAAACTAGGTCACACACACACGAACTAGGGACAAGAACAGGTTACACATCTTGTATTGTGTTGGTAACTGGGGTAACTTTCAGTAGAGTTTTTAATAGTTCTACGCATAATCTGTTCTGTTGTACCTTTAATCAGGGGCGTAGCGAGGGGGGGGGGGCGGGGTTGCGGACCGCACCGGGTGACACCATTTAGGGGTGACACCAAGGCAAAAAATAGCAAACTATATAGAGAAAAATTTGGTGGGGGGGGGGGTGGAACTCGAAAGTTTGAGGGGGGGGGGTGCAAGTCGAAAACTTGAAAGTTTGTCCCCGGGAAGGGTCGCTACGCCTCTGGGGGGTGACACCATTAAGTGCCGCACCGGGTGATACCCGACCTCGCTACGCTATTGCCGCTAATACAAATACATGGCATTCATTGTAGCTGATGTAGGGATGAGATGAGATAAATATTACCATTTTGGTATGGTTTAGAGTGGGATTAATTTATGACAATATATGCAAGAGCGTGGAGACAGATGTTGAAGAAGAGAAGAGTAGCATATATTACACATGCAATGAATATGTCGCCAATTTAGCGAAACAAAAGTTATTGTTAGCGAAACAAGACTACAGACACATTGTTACAGTCAGCGAAATAAGACTACTAATTGTTACTGTTAGCGAAATAAGACTACAGACAAATTGTTACTGTTAGCGAAATAAGACTACAGACAAATTGCTACTGTTAGCGAAATAAGACTACAGACAAATTGTTACTGTCAGCGAAATAAGACTACAGACAAATTGTTACTGTCAGCGAAATAAGACTACTAACTGTTACTGTTAGCGAAATAAAACTACAGACAAATTGTTACTGTTAGCGAAATAAGACTACAGACACATTGTTACTGTCAGCGAAATAAGACTACTAACTGTTACTGTCATCGAAATAAGACTACAGACAAATTGTTACTCTAAGCGAAACAATACAGAATAATTGTTGTTGTTAAAAAAACAACTTCAGACAAATTGTTACTGTAAAAAAAAACAACTACAGACAAATTGTTTGTTAGCGAAACAATACAGACACATTTTTACTGTTAGCGAAACACAATTACAGACAAATAGTTACTGTTACTGTTAGCGACATTATGACATTTTTTATGAGATTATCTCAAGGATACAGACACGTAGAGCATATGAAGTAGAGTTAAAAAAAAACCCGCGGTATGAAGGGTGATAGTGTGGTCAGCACTGAGACCAGCCGACTTAGTTTGGGTGAGCTCATTGACGTGTTACACATTCAACCCCGGGATCCGAACTCGAAACCTTCTTGTTAGTAGTCGTAACACTCACTCCTCTACTAATCATCATACAGTTCGGCCGTTGAAAAAAGTATGTGAACATCATAACATAAAGAATTGAATAGTATGGCAGGGAGGGAGAGCACTCGATTACTAACTCGACTGTTTCGAGTTTTCATCCAGCAATAATGGGTACCTGAATAGGCAATGACAGCTTGGAATAAATATAACCACAGTACCTCTTTATATAGAACATATAATTGAAACATATGTAATCATCTGCTCTCTTGAATGCCAGGTTCAAAAGGGCTGCTTTACTAATATATTAAACGAGCCGACCCGCGCCGTAAGCATACGCCGCTGTTTAGTTGTTTAATTTTCTACTTTTCAGTAATTCATAATTTGTGAATTCGACACTACCCTCTGCACAATCGCTATTAGTTATAACAATACTCACCTTAAACCCTAATCCAAGCTTAGAAATTTACTATTCTCATTACTCACATTATAATAATATACACATTCATACGAAAAATCTATAGTCGTTCAATAACTAACATCACATAAAGGGTAATACCAAAAGGAACATAGAGTCATACCTACACGAAGATTCCAGCAGATTCATCACAACTGTTTAAATACCCATACACAGCCATGTACCATTTTTATAGCCTGAATAGATTTAGCCCACTCACATCACGCGGTGAATATTTTAGCCCTCCCTCTGACGTTAGTGGTGACGTCAGGTCACGGTGAGCTAGTTCTAAATATAGAACGAATAAAAAACTTGGATCAATATTGGTATGGAAGAGAGGGGAAGGGAGAGGAAGAGAAATAGCCCTAAGGCGCCATTGACTTCAGCCATAGTTGATTTAGCTGGCGAGTTAAAATTTCGATTCAGCTTGTTGGATAAATTGAGCTAAACATAAGCCCTAAACTAACTTGAGTAAATAGTTAGGTGTTCTAAATAGAGTTGTAGGCTTTAAAAATAAATAAAAAATAAATAAAAAAATATATTTTTTTTTACAAAAATTAATAAATCTTAATAATTTAGAAATACTTAGCAATTGTTTGATAATTTAGTAATCCTTAGCACTTATTTAATAATTTTGTAAATAATTCTAAACGTAAGGTTTATATTATTGACTATTGAACGATTAACAATAACTATTCAATGCAGATTTAGTTAAAGCTGAACGAGCTCATAGGATAAACTACGCGCACCTTTCTACGCCACTGTTGAAAGTTCGTAAAATGGATATATGACCTGATTAAAATGTCGGAACAATCTAGACTGCTGTAATAAGCATGGTTAGGTGTCATCCATAAATGATGTCACGCTTTTTTGACGATTTTTACCTCCTTTCCTCTCCCTTCCGTCACACATCGTCACAAAAAACCAGAACCCCTCAAAACTGCAGTTGACTTTTTCTTAAAATACGATATTTTTCTCTGTGTATTTTTATCAATTCCTATTACAATTTATTAAAGCAGTTTTCTAAAACTCGAAATAACGACTAAAATTCGTTTCGTAACATTGCTTTTTTATAATGCAAAAATGTGACGTCACACCATCTAAACCATCCACCCTTCACAAAACTACGGATCCCCCTCCCCAATACTAGTGTGACGTTATTTATGGACGACCGCTTATATGTAACCAGCAATCCCGGATCCATGATCCTCAAAATTACAATTGTTAGTCAATTTAAAAGCTTTTTATCATATGTAAAAATAAAAGACTTGTTTAATTTCAATATCGTTAAATCAGTACAACAAGAGATAAGTCTACATAATATACATCTACATCAAACTTCCGTTTAAATTAGTTTTACTATTAATACCGTGTTTCAGGAAATTATTTTACTTAGAATGAAATTGAAAACGCTACCTCCTATATGTAGTGTGCATCTATTATCAGCGAAAAAACTTGATCCGTAATTGAACGGAGATAATTCATTTTTAAATATTTAAAAAAAAAACTTTTGTTATCTCCCTTAAAATTGCATTTCAATGGCTTTACTTTGTTTTGTTCGATTGTGCCGAATAAATCTAAAGTAAATATTGCTTGATTTAGAACTATTTATCTAATTTTAGTGATTTGTAAAAGCCTCAAAATAGTTAGCCAGGTGGCATTGTTTCTTTTAGACTTTTTTTTTCGGGCCGCTATTTAGTTGTTTTATTTTCTACTTTTCAATAATTCATAATTCATAACCCCCCCCCCCCCCCCTACACCCCCCTATGAAAGCAGCCTCCTCTTAGTTATTTCTTAGTTACCTCCTGTAAGAAACCCGGCTGTACGGCTCTACGATTTGTAAACATTTAGCGTGACCACAGCTCACCAGACAATGTGGGGGTGGGGTGGGGGTGGTAGTGATAGTGATAGAGAGAAAGAGAGGGGACTGCAAGGAGGCGCTTGCAGCTTGTTTTCTAACGGCTCCCAGAAGAGAATTATATATATAGATTTTCTACATAAATTCGGTAGACGTGATTTGGGGGAAGGGGGGGGGGGGGCATCGCCACCACCCAAACCCCGAAGAGATGCCTGAAAGAACCACTGCTGCTGGAGGGCTATGGAAAGAGAAACAAGGATTACGATGCTTATATTGGCTCAACTTATGAGAGTCCGGTACAGAGCTGTTGCAGCTCTTCAGGGGCGTCACAGAATTAAGTTTTCAGTCAAGTCATATGTATATTAATATACACATGTTGATTTTAACCCCCCCCCCCCTTTCATCCCTACACCAATACATAATTAAAGGCAGCAGTATGATTTTAGCAGAAGTAAAGCTCCGTTTCAAACCTGAATGTCCGTTTAGGATGTAAAGTAGAGTTCATCTGTTTCTGTGACTTCGGTATATGAAGAGATGATTTGGTCACCACTGTTCCTAATCGCCTTTACTTTCTCTAACATGAGTCGTAATTGACTCATGTTAGAGAAAGTAAAGGCGGACTTATGGACTTATGTGTACTTGGTGGATTTATGGACGTTCTACTGACACGATCTTGAGAGTTAGAAATCGTATGCTCCATGCCATGACACTGCTAGCAACCTTGATGGCTAATTTGTTCATTGTGAGATGGATGATATTTGATTAAAAACGCTGTGTATACTTGATTTAGTTCTGGTTTGTCAAACATCAAATATGTGATAGAGCTGTTGAAAATGGTTTATTTGATGGTATAATTGACGCTAATGAGAGTCGGAGTGGTCAGGTCGGTAAAGCCATAGTTGCTAAATCGAAAAGTCCCTGAGTTCGAACCCCCGGGCAGATGATGACCAATACTTGAGTAGCAACACATCTAGAAGAGAAAAATCCAAAAATCAAATAACAGATGCTAACACGGCATCACTGGGCGTATGACCTTCCATTGAAGGTCACCGGCCTGGGCGCAAGAGTTCGTATACCAACTTCAAAGGTGAAGTGTTCGTGACCAAGGCGAACCATGTACAATACATTGTAGATGGAGGCATCCGGCTGTAGTCAGGCACTGAGAGGGGTGGGCACAGACATGCAATACTTAGCGCCAACGACCTCCAAGAGTTAAGGGATTTATTTATTTTTTAATGTGTATATGCTGCTAATACACGAGCCTCTGTATGTAAAAGAAAATGATAAATAAGCTTGAAAAAAATATTTTTACAAAAGTTAATTTTTTAAATAAATTCCATTTTTCTAGAATAGAATACGTATCAACTACACTTATACGATACATTTTTCTATTGTGATTATAATTCTAAAGACACTCATCATTGTAACAAAGTTAGACTACTCAATGACATTTGATCACATTTTTATTTTTATTTGTAGTCTTGGGGGTACAAGAGTGTAGCATTTTTTTTTATGTATTCTGTGTGAATGTACATGTTTTACTTTTCTGTCATTAAAAAGGTGCAATTAGGCTGAAAAATTGTGCACACATAAATCAACTGCTGAATAATTATTGCATTTTTTACCAAATCAGTCTACAAGTCACTTGAAGTAGTTTATCTATTTCAAGTGGAGTTAATCTGTTTCACTGACTTAGTCAAAAGATGGGATATTATGATCAATTCTATGCTCAGCCGCCTCAACTTTCCCTTACGTCAATTAGGTACACAATAGAGCTGAGTAAACTCAGGGACGACCTACACACTTGATACAGGGATCTTAACTCGAGACCGTAGGGTTTGGAGTCGTGAGTTCTACCATTCAATCTCGTCACAAAGTGCAAGGACATCTGCTTTTAACAGTGGTTTAGTAGTTAGCAAGAAAAAAGATTAATAAAAACGTATTTAAATATATATTTGAAAAGTATTTAAAATTATATATTGAACACTTTTAAAAAGTGTATGAATACTGTTTCATAAGTTATATAATTAAAATATCACAGGGAATATACGTTTCACATCAAAGTTATTATGATTAAAAATGCATTGCTTACATATACTACAGAAACATGTAATTCAAAACACTTTGAAAAGGCGTTTTTCATTCTTCATGTTATATTCAGAAGAGAAATGCAGTACGTCTATCTTTTTTAAGTGAAATAAATAGTAATTATAATCATATTGACAACAAAGCTAGCTTAAAAGGTAACAGTTTTATTATAAAAATATATTTTTTATAAAAAATAGTTTTTATAAAACTGAATATAGTATTTTGCACTATTTTGATATGCTATTTAAAAATATATATTTAAAAATGTGTTAACTAATTTTTGACACACTGCATTTGTCCTCTGCACTGTCGATATGCTAACATTAAACACATTAAACACATATATATATATATATATATATATATATATATATATATATATATATATATGTGTGTGTGTATATATATATATATATGTATATATATATATATATATATATATATATATATATATATATATATATATATATATATATATATATATATATATATATATATATATGTATATTTATATATATATATATATATTAAAAACTTTGCTGAAAAAAATAAAGTTTACAAATACTATTAGTATTAAAGCTGCATACATTCGGTCTTAATGTTTAAGTTTGTGTGACAGAGCATGAGCCTAAAGTTTTTAGCTCACTTCTGCACCAGTTTTAATTCTAAGCTCTTGACTGCATTAACTGACATTATAAGCTCGTTTATAACAAAAATGTAAACTCTACGCTTATGACTGCACAACTACTTAAATTCTAAGCTCATGACTGCACTAGCTTAAAGTATAAGCTCGTTTCTAACAAAACCTTAAGCTCTAAGCTTATGACTGCATACCGACTTTAATTCTAAGCTCATGACTAAACACAAACTTAAATTCTAAGCTCATGAATGAACCAAACTTAAACTCTAAGACGAAGACGCAGTTGTCTGTTGTCCAATTAAAGAACCAGCCGGATGACTCCACATAGCAGAAGCAGGTACATGGAGATTGAAACAATTTCTTGTCCATTATCTGCCGTTGTTGCAGCTGTAGAAATTAGATTTTTACGTTAGATTTACTATAGTACAAGAGCAGATATTAATGTTCATTAGAATAATACACATTTTTAATTTACAGAATAGATATCTCGATTCAAATCGCCTAGTAGATATACATATTCAACGAAAATCATATTTTAGATATGTGAACCAGGGGCGTAGCGAGTGGGGGGGGGGGGGGGGGCGAGGGTGCGGACCGCACCGGGTGACACAATTTAGGGGGGGGGGGTGACACCAAGGCAAAAAATAGCAAAA